AGGATGAATATTTTTATGCCTGTTTTTCATGAAATATAATTGGACTTTTGAGGACATCAAAAATCAATGAGAAGAATTCACGCTACTTTAGTAGCAGGTTTGCATGGAGCCGGAAGGAAGTTCACTCGAAAGCCGGCATCCTGATGTAACTTAAATATTATAGAATTATGCTACATGGTGATTCGTTTTACAACGGTACTTAATTAATCTTTTCTAAACGAAAACGCCTTTTGGAATTTCGGTCGACATTTCATGAGTTAACCCACCTACTGTATATTGCTAAGACGCACATCAAGTTTGCGAACAATTTGTCCTACCGCACACTTTTGCCTCTTTAGATCTTGCCACCGGGTGGGTCCTGGCGCTTTCTGGCAACCAAGGACTTATTGCACACACGATATTTTGACCGTCGATTTCGTTGATGTCCACCGTGTGCCCCACAGCAGCAGCGGTGGAAGCAAGGACGGTGACTTGCGAAGGGGTTTATAGTGCCAGTAGACTTGCGCTGCATCTACCTACACTCTCTCCTCCTCCCCTGCCTGAGCTCGGTGTCAAGACAGAGTCAAGAAGACCGGAGACGAGGGAGGCCGCAGGTGGATGGCTCGGACGGATCCTCACCATGGCGCTCCACTCCGCACCCCCTGGTCCACACAAAGATTGACCAGGATTTTGACCGTCACAACAATGGACGGCGTGACAGTGATCCCAGTTGTGCGACGGCTGTGCACAACAGGGACTGCCAGCGCACCCCCTACATGTTGGCATTTGATACTGCACACAGATAACGCCTGCCAGAATCCGATGTGGCCCCCGTGTTGGTCTAGCGCATCTAACATATGGCTTGTTTGGGAGGCCGACACACACACACACGATAGTTCGACTGTCGATTTCGACGATGTCCACCGTGTGCCCCACGGCAGCAGCGGTGGAAGCAGGGACGGTGACTTGCGAAGGGGTTTATAGTGTCAGTAGACTTGCGCTGCATCTACGTACACTCCTCCTCCCCCGCCTGAGCCTGGTGTCAAGACAGAGTCAAGAAGACCGGAGATGAGGGGGGCCGCAGTTGGATGGCTCAGACGGATCCTCATCATGGCGCTCCACTCCGCACCCCCTGGTCCACACAACAAATAACAAGGATTTTGACCACAAAACAATGGGGGGATGGCAGTGTTCTCTGTTGTGCGACGACTGCCAACAACAAGGTCTGCCAGCGCACCCTGGAGGCTGGCACGGCTGAAACAGCCTCACCTAGGCGTGCCGCCAATGCCTGGCTCGGATCCCACACTGTGGTGGAAGTGCTATAAAGGCCACATTAAGAAGGAGCCATTGCAGACTGTCTCTCAGACCCCAGTCGAGGAGGTCCGAGTTACCAAAAGTACCACACACATGTTTGTATTCTTTCCGCTCTTTCTACATTTCGCTAGACGAACCAGTTATTACCAGGGGTCTAGCATATGATGGAGCACCCAAAAATAGAATTAGTTTCCATAGGCGAGAGGATTGGCAGTGGCGCCTCCTCCAGCCAGGCACGTTTACGAGGTCCTCTTTCCATGCAGTTGGCCAAGTAGCGTTCAGGAGGAACCATGTCTGCGGACAGAATGATTGTTTTAGTAAACGTCCTCCCAGCGCCCTCGGCGATATTGCAATAACAAACTTTAAGGAGCAATGCGACAAAATTGAATTCTGTTTCCTGCCCACGGTAGGTTTGTTTTCCTGACATCAAAGGAGTCGTTCATGCTGAGTTGGTTACTCACGGCACAGGAGTGAGCCAACATTACTAAGCGCAAGTGTTGAAGTGATTGCGTGAGGCAGAGGGAAACAACAGCCTGAATTGTGTTGATCGGGGACAACGCGCCCGCCCACACAGCGTTCAAACCAGCTTTTCGCAAAAAGCGGCATGAGGACGATTCCCCCCCTTAATCGTTCGACCTACTCCTATGCAACTTCGTTGTTATTCCAAAGAATGAAGAAGAACGCATGAAGAGGGGGCGTTTTCAGAACGTAGTAGAGATCAAGAAAAAGTCGCTGGTAACAATTTGCGGGAGAAAACCCTTGTGGGACAAGTGCATATCATCTGGTGGACAGTATTTCGAAGAGGGTCAATGTTTGCAAATATTGTCTAAAATTTCGAATATTTATATAAATAATTGTCACTTTTTGTGTACCCCTCGTAAAGGTCATTTAAAGGCTGCATACTTTTGCTGAATATTATCGAAGAAAAGGAAACGAAGACCAAAATCCTGACAAAGTACGTTAAAATGCACCCCCTCTATTTAATTAGCCCACTGATCGACCGTAGTTGCAAGCTTGGCAGCGCTTATATTGACCCTTGTAGCAAAACCGCCTGGTTTGGATATGCACACTTCCCCATTTACATAGAATATACCTGAACCACAGATTGTTTCATATAATCCGTATAACAAATTTGCAGGTTATTCATTATTTCGCACTTGACAAAAGAAAGTTCCGTACCATACCTGGTCCATATGCTTTCTTAGCCACTGTTCCAGGCGCTCAATTTGATTTGGTGGTTTGCCAGTACCATATTTCGTACCCACCATTCCCTCTGATTTCTCATCGGTTTCTACAACTCCTTTTATAGTGTATCTTATTGGCTGCTTTACGAACGATCCGCTTCAGAGTAACGCTAGACACTGTAAATAGAAGTGCATAACACTAGCAATTTCCTATTTACACTTGGTTTATGTAAGTGGATCTTTACTCACAAGCTGATAATCATTGTTGACCTTCTGGGGTTTCAGGCTACATCTTCTTTTGGATAAAGGGCCGTAGCCTATCATATTTTGAAGTATTAGGGGTACCGGAACGCAATGTTTTTTGTAATTTTATTTTAAATGCTTTTTATCAAATGTTTATGTCTGCTCCATTTGAACTATATCTCTACAAATCAGTTAGGTCTCGTGTTTTAGATTCTGATATACATTTTTAATTTCGACCAAACTGTGAAAAACTCGGCGCCTCGGTGTGATTCGAACCCACGACAGCAAGGGGAAGGCTTTAGTACAACCAACGTTCTAGCCATCTGAGCAACGAGGTTCCACCTCGAGGCGTGAGTTTAATCACATTTGGATTAAATTCCCCGCCCAACCTACTGCAACGTCTGGATTCCACCGGATCTGATACAGAAAGCTGACTACCGGAGCAGGATTTCCTAAGTAATTAATCTACCCAAATGTGATTAAACTCACGTCTCTCGGTGGGGCCTCGTGGCTCGGGTGGTTGGAGCGTCGGCTGTTCTAAAGCCGCCCCTTGCTGTCGTGGGTTCAAATTGCACCAGGGCGCCGAGTTTTTCATGGTTGTGTCAAAATGAATTATTCAAAATCTACCGAAACAACTACTGGCATAAATCTTGTTTAGTATGGTAGAGGGGCGCACACCGATCGGAACTCACTCGTCCCGTTGTGCCTTAGGGCCCTCCCTCTCTCGAGCCCAGCCAGCAGATTAGGTCTAACAAAAACAGAACCATAAAATCCAGAGGCAGCCACATTCTTCATTGTATGCTTCAAGAGGAACAAGGCAACAGCAGCCACCACAGCAGCCTAGATGTCCGTAGGCGCCAGCGCTGGTTCGTGAAATTCCGATCGGGCGATTTCCACCTCTCCGACGCCCACCGTCGGGGAAGGCCAATGGAGTTGGATTTTTGCTTTTTAACCACAGATCATCAAGGAATTATCAGAAAAACTGAATTCGTCATGATGTCCTGCGCAGGAACACCTTCAGCAGGCAGAGCAGCTTAATATCCAAGGGGTTTGTGCCCCACTTCACACTTCGATAGAAAACAAAGTTCAGCATTCCGCCACCTAAACGTTATCCTAATCAGACCAGGTGAAGAACCGTGTCTTAATCAAATTATCACAGGAGATGAGGAATGGATTTTCCTACGTTAACAACCGGCGTTAACACAATGGTGTTCCATGGGTCGGACACCAGACTGCACTCTGAACTCAGGCTTATACCCCAAGAAAGCCTTGGAAGGCGTTAGATGCAACACGGTAAACAAAATTCACTTTAAGCAACCGGGAGAAGGTCAAACCGTAATAGCAGACATCTGTTGTCAGCACGTTGAACGTTTGAAACAAGAGCTTGCTGTTGAACATCCAGCGCTGACCAATAGAAAAGTTGCCAATCTACTGCATGACAACGCAAGACCGCATTCACCCTGACACATACGGAACAATATCCGAGATTTAAGGTGAGAACTTCTGTCCCATCCCCCCTATTCGCCTGACTGTGCACCAACTGATTATCATTTGTTCAGATCTCTGCAGCACTTCCAGAGCAGTAAAACGGCAAGGGTATGGTTTATGGCTGGGGTTACTTACTCAGGGGGACAATTATGCTAAAAGAAAACAACTGGCGATATTTATCTGCACGCGCCAGAGAAAAAAAATAAAAAGACCTCGCAGTGGCTGTTGTTTGAGGGTGGCCAACATGCTTAAACGTAGTCACCTGAACAGGAATACGACAATGCAATACTTTTTGGCAACGCCTGCAAAGGAGTATTAAATTCGTTTACTATTATCATTAGATGGTAAAAACAGTGTTCCCTATTAATTGGTGACAATATTGAGGATCAGAATTTGTGATACCACAAAGTTGTCGGATGTTTAACTCTTTTGCTCAACATAACTGCTCCTGAAGTAAGTAACACCGGCCATAAACCATACCCTAGTCAGTAAAACTTTTCGAAATATCGATTAAGTCTGAACTATGTTTACAAACCTTTGATAGGAAAACAGATTTTCTCACTTAAAACAAAATCCGCTTTTGCTCATTCTCAACTATTGTAAATCCAGAATCCCGTTAACGTATGATGCAAATGGAGTAAGTCTAATTCTAAGTCTAATTCTAATTCTAAGTTTCTTCGCTTTTGAAACGGACTGAAATGTTCGCGGAGCACTATAGTAAACTTAATCATATTCGATCCTATTAAATCTGACAAAACTTTGAGGGTGGCTGAACGAGCACATGAACAGAGAATGATTCTCGAAGCAGCACTGGAGAACAAAGTTCGCAAGCTGTCTAGTCCGACGTTATCTAAAAGCGACAAACTGGTGCACAACCAGTCGGTAAAGGAGCTGGTAGAGGAACAGATGCGGGTGCTAAGACGTAAGGTCCCATTTGACACAGCTGATGTTGAGCCTGCCAACGTGACTACAACAGCAGAGACAATACTAAGCCAGACGGAACCGGCAGACAAGAAGAAGGACCTCATAGGACACCAAGTGTCGTCCATCCTCATGGATCATAGACCTCGCGAAGTGCTTCTCAAGTCTAACGTACGGGGCTAAGAGAATTCAAGATCGAAAAAGGCATCACTATCGCGCCTGCGGACAAGGGGCGTTCCACTGTCGTATTGGACAGGACAGACTACCATTGGAAGGCCAAAAGCTTATTGGAGAATCGTCAGTTCTATGCCCCATGCAAAACCAGCCCCCTAAAAACGCTGAAGTGTGAAAGCAGTGCGGCGTTGGTGACAACGGAGAAATCTGGTGCAATGGCACTTACTAACCTGCGCATGGCTGGAGCGCAAGAACCGGCCCTAGCCCAATCCTATGGTCTCCTAAAAGTGCACAAAAAGGGTGCCCCTCTCACGCCCATCGCATTAATCAAAGGCACCCCAACTTGCGGACTAGCAAAGTGGTTGATTCAGCATCTTACATTTCGGACTGTTCGTCCAGATACCACAGTCATCTCGTCAAGGCTATTCTCGGAGAAAATAAAAGGGTAAGTCTCCTGTCAAACGACGTCATGGTATCATTTAGTGCCACGTCTCTTTGTATTTCTATTCCATAGAATCTGGCGGTAAAGACCATCGAATTACTCCCAAGAAACAAATACGACGAACTGATATTGACTCAACTGTGAAAAACTCGGCGCCTCGGTGGGATTCGAATCCACGCAGTAAGGGGAATGAATTACGTGAGCCTGGTAGTCATCTGGTGGATACTAGGTGAATTACTTAAGAAATTCTGCTTGAGCAGTTAACTTACTGTATCAGATTTGATGGATTCCAGACGTTGCAGTAGGTTGGGCGGGTATTTTGACCCAAATGTGATTAAACTCGCGTCGTCCGGCGGGGCCTCGTAGCTCAGGTGGTTAGAGCGTTGGCTGTACTAAAGCCTTCCCCTTACTGCCTGGGTTCGAATCACATGGAGGCACAGAGTTTTTCACAGTTGGGTCACTATCAATTATTCAAAATCTACCAAAATACCTGTTAAATACGACGAAGTAAACAATCGCCTGGGACTTCCAAATCCTCCAAATCATGAAGTTATGCCTGAAGGCATACTTTACCCTTGGCCATTTCTGGTTTATTAGCCGTCGTCAGCCAGTCATACCCAACCCCGAAGTGTGGAACACCCGAGGCTCGAACTCGCGACCTGTTAGTTAGAAGTCCACGCCTCTAACCACTGGGCCACGAGCCCGTTGCCCTGTCGGTTTCCGATCGGGAATATACAATGGTAGGGGGGGCGCTCGAGCCTAGGGTGTTCCACACTTCGGGGTTGGGTATGACTAGCTGACGACGGCTAATAAGCCAGAAATGGCCATTTCAGTCTCCCTTGTCTTCGTCGGTAATGCCATTCTGCCTATATCATACGCCGCTGTGGGGCTGCTGGTTGGGCTCGAGAGAGAGCCAGTAAGGCACAACGGAACGAGTGAGTTCCGGTAGAACGATCGGTGAGCGCCCCCTTGTTTTTATTTATATATATTTATATTTATAGTTGTCACAATCAACAGGGCTATTGATCTTCATCCGGCCTACCAGGCGCTGCGTACAAGGTTCCAGTCAGTTCAGACAGGGCCGGCAGTACTGGCGAGCGAGTCGCGGCTCCTCCAACAGTTGTCACCTCCACAGCAGGGGGAAAGAGCCAGCCGGAAGTCACAGGACCAACGCGAGACATCGCCCCACAGGCACGCCCAGACAGCCGAGCGTGATTCGCACATGCAACGACAGCTGATCAGTCCATCCGATTATGAGGTGAGGGCCCATGAGCACACAGGATTTGCAGCGATTAAGACAACCGGCCAGGGGGCAGAGGTAACAGGAGCGCGCCATCTGCCGCCCGCGGAGGGACCAAAGCCAATCCGCAGCCAGCAGGCAGGTCAGAGTTCGTGCGTCAGGCACGCCCATAACACAAAACAGGCGGCGAGACAGAACAACTCCGAGCAAGCAGGAACAGACACCCCACCACTCTGGTGATGGAAACGAGGATGTTTCCGAAACGTCAGCACCAATACACTGTGGTCCATGCAATCGCCCCTTTTTCTTCGTTTTCTTTTGGGGATGATGAACGGGATAATTTATATTTATATATTTATATTATATTTATTATTTATTTATGTATTTGCACTACACCTGCTTCTTATACATACTGCACTCCTTATGCTTCCATCACTTTTATCTGTAACTGACTGATGAGTTCGGGCGGGAATTTGAAACGTCGTGCCAATACACTTCTTATCCGGGCAATCGCATCTTCTTTCGAACTGTTTCCTAAAAGTCGCCTTTTTGCTTCTATCGATGCCTTGGACCTTCATCTCAGAATCACTTTAATAAACTTGTATTCCCGAGCATTAGACTGTGCATTCACTGGATTCCGATTACGCATAGACCTACTAATACTCAAAGGTCTTTGCTTGCAGTCTTTGATGAGTACCTCATCCCAAAACACCTCCGAAGTTAGGTCGTCGCAGAAAGGTGTTGATCAACTCCAGTAGTGCGGTTTTCCAGTTATTGTATGATAGAATGCACAGATCGATAACTACGCAGTCATGTGGTTGTGGGTACGGTTTTGGATGAGCTAACTGACTGAAAGCCCGCGTTTTATCAGAAAAATATTTGCGGGAAATCGGCGAACAGTTTTCAAGGAAAAGTGTATTTCTGTTTTCATCTTTGTCGTCGCTGCTAACTGTGGAATGGTTTAAAACACACTAGGGTCTTTTGTCTTCTGTTTTATCTCGTAATTTTCAATTTGCTGCTTATATTTGCTAACTAGTAAAAATTTCAAGGGGGAGATTAAATTCAGTAAAAGGTGGGTAACTTGAATATTCTACTCATATGTCCGCTATGTCACCTGCCAACTACGGAACGTCTCCAAGGACTAACCGGTGAACCCGCGCCAGAACCAAATTAAATGGCTGTGCGAGGAACACGAGGGTCAGGCCTTGGGTTTTGACTTAGTTCACTTTCAGAATATTTGTGCATCTCTTTTGCAAAGATCTGTTTGGGTGTGAGACGCGAATTAGACGAGATCTAAGCCCTGAATTCGGGCTAGGATCCTTGTAACAGAAGGTCCTTGCATCTGGGGCACAGAAACGGACATTATTCGGCTGCTCTTATTGAAATACATAAATCCATACCTAAACTAAATAGTTCCTACCAGAATTTCTGGTTTTAGCATGGAGTGAAACATCATACAACGTCCCCGACTGCGTGCTTATAGGTTTTATAATCAGGTACGGACACAGCCGTTAACAAAGTATCGTATACTTAGGAGTTTATTAGCCCCCCAACCCTGGACACCCTTGAATGCAGCGACGGAATCCTGTTCCTATTCTGTGGTGCACGATTACCTTATTAGTAGACACTAAGTAGGCGGATGGACACAAATAACACATGTGGCGGCCATATACTGTTTACGCATTGCTTTCCAATTTATGTTCGGCAACGCCAAAGAAAGACCACATTTTTGCTTTATGCTACTTATGTCTTTACATTTTATTCAGTCTAAAAATAGTTGGACTTCTGTCAAACCGGCACTGTTGGCTACTTGTCTTAAGCCGCGTTTTCATTTATGTATCTTTGTATTTCCCATACTCTTTGAGAGACTATTTATATGAGCAATCTAGGCTGGTCTCCACTGCTGCCCCCAAATTTTCATTCGTTTTGTTTCACATTCGCGAACGCTTATCGTCTCAACAACATTCTATGCTATCTCATGAAATATTAACCGAAATCCTGAAATGTGCTCTCGATCCGAAAAGACTGTTTAAGTAGGGTTGCAGTAGCAATAATCTTATAGCATAGGCCTAAGGTATTTCAGTTACGCCAAGATGTTGGCTCTTGGGCGGTGTTTTTTGGTTGTCTGCAAAAACCACACCACTTAAGGCTAGCTACTTAAGTAGTAGGAATTTTTCCCATTGATCTTTTATGAGAGTCCAGAGTCCAGAGGAGAGCCACCTAAGATGGTCAGCGGTCAAAGCTCCTTTCCTTATGCGACCTGCCTAGTAAATCTGAACCTCTTTCCTTTGAGTTACAGGCAACTTCGCGGAGATCTCTTGCAAGCCTTCCGCATTGTAAAGGGGTTGGATTGCAGTCTGGCCTTCGAGGACTTTTTTGAATTTGCTACCATGACCAACCTCCGAGGTCACCCGTTAAAACTGCGCACTCAGCAGGCACGGCTGGATGTGCGGAAGTTCTCCTTCTTGGTTCGGGTGGTCAAACCGTGGAATGAGCTTCCCGCAGATGTTGTGATGTCACCATCTATACAAAGATTTAAGAAGAATCTGGACATATTTATGTTCCGAAATGACCAAGAGCGATGAGAAGTCGAGCTCACCCCTTGTAACTCCTTCTCATTTTGTCCCACCATTATGGGCGTGTTTGAACTTTTTCAACCCAGAACATCTATCTGTACACCACACATTTTTTACGTTGCAAATAGGGTACTCAAAGGCTTACGCCTATTTCCCTCAATAAACTGAACTGAACTGAAAAATAAATTTGAATATACTTTATAGCAAACATACACGCAATATTCTGTCTTACGCCCAATTGACCGAAAATTGCGTCTCTTCGAATTTTCAATTTGAAAAGGAAGTAGCCTTCTCTTCTTAAAAACTTTTTCAGTCTCTGAATAATTCTTAACCTGACCGGCCATTAAACTTACACCCGGGGTTTCTAAACCACATGCTGCATACATTTCGTCAAAGAAATATCACTCATACATTTATGCTGTTAGGAAGATGTCGTATAGAACTAACGAAAATATGCAACAGATGTGAGCCAGTTTGCATACTTCATAAGCAGCCTTAATAGACGTGATGATGCGATGCTGTATGAATGAACATTTCACGATTTTAAAATATCTCATAATTTGAAGCTTTTTTAAAATCGAAAGGCACCCTCTCTTTGAGTGTAAAATCTGAAGGTGACGCAATTTACTATCAAGTGAGATTGGAACATAATATTTTAGTACGCCTGCTTTCTGTTAAATATAATTTACTTTAGAAAAGCATCGTAAATCAGTGGGAAAATTTAGTGTCCCTTGAGTACTCGGGGTGTCTT